GAGCACGCTAGATTCAGAATCAGAGGATCTAAATCAGTCCTCGATCCACTCCTTACTATCAGAGTGACTTTGGGTGAACCGCTTATCTGAGGCTTGGTTTACTAAGTATATTCTAAAAAATCGATTTCATTCACCCATCAGTTTCATTCATTTCCCCCAGAATTTTGTGGGAGGACTTAAGAGACAGCTATGCCAGTGTCTAGGGGGTGGGAGGTGCATTCCTGCAGAAGAGAAGGAAATCAGGCATAGACGTGGTACTGAGGGAGGGAACCATCGTGTCTCACCCCAGTACTACATGGGCCCTGCTTCTGGTCTGGCCTCTCAAGGGAGCCTCTGGGGGAGGCCGAGTTCAGCCTCCTGAGACCACAGCCAGTGTGGCTCACAACCAGAGGCCTGGAAGGCTGGTGCTGCTGCCCTCCCCTCCCAACATTCCTGGCTTGGTATGCATGCCCATCTTTGTGCTGCTCTCCTACCCAAGAAAGCATATCAGAAAGCCAGATTTGGGGAGGGATATCTTTATATGGAAACCATCACTTACCATCATCATTACACACTTTTACTTTAAGCACATCTCCCCCCACACACACATACACACTGCAATACTTTATCAGTAATAACAAATTCTAGTGGCAGACCTCCCAAAAGATGGAGGCAGCCCAGTGAGCTCCATACCCTAGTGCTGGGAACTGCAGTTTGAAATATCCTTCCCCCTCAGCCCTCCATCTGGGACCTCTCTTCCACAGACCCTTCTCTCAACTTGCGGTGTTCTTAATTTGCTATTTGATGTCATTCTAGGTAAAGACAAATTAAAATGTTAAATTATGAGTATGAATTTTACCATTCATCTTTATACTATGCAATGCCAGTTTTAAATGCAAATATAAGAGCTGTTAACTGCTGTGCAGAGTCTCCCAAAATTACAGAATTTACATTTCATAGCTCGTGTATGCATATGTATTTCATTCTTCACCAGCGCAGTGTAAATGCCCCACAAACACAAACGGAGCTCAACTGTTTTTATTTTGCTTCCTGATATGCACATACTTTATCCACATTCTCTGCCCTAGGCTTATAGATAGGAAGGACAGCCCCAGACAAAAGGAACCACAGGCTGTCCTCGCTGTCCTTTTCCTCTCTGCCATTTCCAGCATAAGCGATTAACTACCGCAGGGAAGTAACGTGAGTAAGAAAAGATAACACAGGTTCTTTGCTTGGTCATGTGTCATAAAACACCCCTGCCTTCTTTCTGCTTTCAAAACAACTGTGGTTCAAACAGAAAGGGAACCTCTCAGGGTGGTCAGCTCCCTGCTTCGCAGTCACAGACGTCACACGCTTAACTTCTCACTCTGAGCTGAACCTCCCCCATGGGGTGAGCGCTCTGGAATTCTGTGTTCACCGTATATCCTGAGCACTGTTTGTAAATGGAGCAGCAAGACAATGAATCTTATCTCCGCTGCTCATGGACATGCTGCCTTGTCCCAAGTTCAAACATAAAATTATTAAGTTTTTCAAGATGGGAGGAAGACACACCTGATTGGCTCAGTCAGTTAAGCGTCTGCCTTTGGCTCAGGTCATGATCCCAGGGTCCTGGGATGGAGTCCCACATCGGGCTTCCTGCTCAGTGGGGAGCCTGCTTCTCCCTCTCCCTCTGCCACTCCCCCTGCTTGTGTTTTCTCTCTCTCTCATTCTCTCTCTCTCATATAAATAAATAAAATCTTAAAAAAAAAAAGAATTTCAAGGTGGTAACGACAGAGGCTGAAATCCAGCTCAAGATCCTCTTAAGCATGAGCACTATGTGGCTCATGGGTCACATGCCCATGAAGCTGGCTCCGCCCCATGGCCTCTGCTCCGGCCACAATGGCTCCTACAGACCCCTAGGGCATCTGCTCCTTTGCCTGAGACTCACTTCCCTCCCTCATGTCCTGGGCATGTTCCTCCTTCTCTTCCTGTGATCTCAGCTCAGCTGTCACATACCTAGGTAGATCTCCCTGCCTGGCTGACGCATCAGAACTTCCTTGGCCCCATGGAGCTGTCCTTCAATCATGCATCATGGTCACCTTTCCTCATCTAGGGCTGTGATGGTTGGATCACTCACTGTTCTCCCATTGAACTGCCAGCAGCCTGGCAGTCCTAGCCTCCTAGGCAGTCCTAGCCTCCATGACTGGGTCTGGTTTTGCTCCTCAGTGTGGCACCAGGGCTGGGCACGTGGTCCTTAATAAATATTCATGCGGCAAATGATTGAATGAAAAAATGGATGAATGTTTTTGCAAGTGGAGCACGAGTGTCAGATGAAGAGGTGGGAGACATGAGGGTGGCGTGAATTCTAGTTTTCGTTCCCAAGAGGCTAAATCCTGTCTTGGTCCGAGCTGATGAGACTCCATGAGCATGCTGTGGCCCTTGCTTCCTTGCTGTCTCTTCTAGGTAATGAGTGCTTGATGATAGGTTATCCTTGCATTGTAAAGGATCCAAGTCCTTTCATTTGTGTCTCCGGGCCCAGCACGACATTGGCACTTACTCAGCTCTCAGAAAGTTCTGGTCCTATTGAACGATCTGAGATGGACTTAGATGAAATGTGTGGCCCTGCGGCTTCCTGTGTCTCTCCCTCCCCTGTGTCTCCTTTTCCTCCGTCCTCTCCTTCCCTCTTGTTAAGGATTTCTGAGTCTTGAGAACCACTTTAGTGGTGATCAAATGTTTCCAACAGAAAATTACCCTCATTTATTTTCGGTTTAACTCGACTCTTCAGAGAAAATTGGCCTGATTGGCCCTATAATCATGTGGTGGTTGGGCACTCCAGAGACTGCCCCAGAACCGGGCTGGGCACATTAACTGGTAATATTGCCATATCGTCATTGATCTTGGGATAGAATCACAAGTCCAGCCGGCTCAGAGCAGAAATGAAACAGGAGAACCAGACGAAACCCGCCATTCTACCCTGAAGGGGTGTAGAGTTAGCCTTGTCCATGAGGAGGATAGTGACACCACTGATCATGAGCAACAGTGGCAGAATGGGACCCGTCCTTGTCAGGCCTGATCTGCAGCCTGTCTGTCTGGTCCGCTATTCCACCTATGTCTGAGAAATGGCAGGAGGGGCTGTAGGGAAAATGGAGTGCTCGTAATGAAATTGAGGATCGATGAAATAATAAAAAATAAAAGCCTAGGGGCAAGATGGGTATTGATTGACCATCTCAGAAAACATTGTTAGTAAGAGATCAGGGCATGCTTCCTATATGTAAAATGGGGGAATTCTGTGCAGGGTGAGATGTGAATGGGAATATAGGATGCTATTAGAAGCGATCCCAGTTCAGTCCCCTGGAAGTTATGGGGCTGCTTACAGAGGGTGCTGTGGAGTAGAAAAGGCATGGCTCAGGAATCAGCCATACCTGGGGCTTCCACCAACTTCAACTCTATGACCTGGAGCAGGTGATAACCTCTTTGATTCGGATTCTCTTTCCGCCTCTTCCTCCTCCTCTTCCTCCTCCTTCTTTTTAATTTTGCAAGTTTTGAGAAATCCCCTGCCTCCAGGTTTGCTGTGAAGATTAAATAAGATCACCTGGATGGAGATACAGAGCTCAGTGCCTGGCACAGAGCAGGGGTGCAATCATGTCACCCCTTCTCCCTGCAGTGTCAGAAGACTGTTCCTTTTTGGAACACCTGGCCATGGACTGGGCTAGAGACACCTAGTTGCTGGACCCCCTTAAATTGTGCACACTAGGCCCCTCACCCTGGTCCCAGCAATGTGGCAGGACAATATCAGGCCAGGATTGGTGTGTCCCAGGGTAGATGCCCTCCTCTTACACCATCTCCTGGGACATTTTATGGGTGACGCAATTGAGATCCAGAGTTTGACCACAGCAACAAGCACGTAGAAAACCCAGAATGTGACTCTGTGCCTCTGGGCTCCAAGCCTGTCTTCTACGCCCCAGCAGCCGAGAGCTGAACCCTTTGCTGCCTATGGCACAGGATGCTCACACACCCCCACGCTGCACCATGCCTTTCTGGACAACTCCACATGATTACACCAACAAGATAGGAAGAGAATGTGTCTCAAGTTTTCAATCTTTCCCAAGGCAATACTGCAGGGCTTACTTGCAGTCGGGGCCCAAGAAATAAATATCCATCAATTGGGAAAAAGAAGATATTTTCACGGCCTTATACTTTAAATGCAGAGAAATAGTTATAATACACTTTAACCCAGCTGAGGGGGAGAAATGCATTAATTTCACAACATGTTTAGCTCTTTAAGAAGTTAGCTTTTCAGGCTCCACGGGGATTCTGGAACTCACATAGACTCACCCCCACTGTTATGAGAGATAATTGCAACCGAGTGGTGCCCCTCTCCCCACAGGGAAGGGTGGGTGGAGAGACAGAAGTGGTTGGCGGGGGGAGCTGGCTACAGCAATGTGAGGTGTCTAAGCCAGGAGGACAGGACAGAGCTGTGCTGCTCATATTTAGTGAGCAAACAAATCACCTTACCAGGGATCTGGTTTAAAAAAATGATGCAGATGCTGATTCAGGAAGGCCCTGTGGGACCCGGAGGTCTGTATTTTTAACAAGTCCTCCAGCAATGTTCATGCTTCTGGTTCGGGGGGCCAAACACTGTGAAAGCTTTGGCCTTTTCCTCTTTCCTCTATAGTCATTTATCTTTAGACTGCGGGCAAAAATCCTTCTTCTCACCCTGGGCAGAGGACAAGTGGGAAGCTGCTAGGAAAAACAGCAAACTAGGACAATCAGCCAGCCCCCTGGCACCATGACTCTTCTTTCTCCCATCCGGTACACTTGATGGGTGACATTTCTGTGTGTGAAACACTTCAATTTTACCATCCATGAAATGAGCATGTTGGTCTGGGTCTCCGGAGGCCTCCTCTTCTAGTTTGACAAGTCTTTGTGTGGAGGAAATGGCCCGGAGGTTTTGGGTTTGCAAATCTGGTCCAAGAGAGCTTCTCTGTCTTCAATCTGGCAATTCTCAGGATCCCCATTCACTGTCTTGCATCCTTCTGCAGGGGAAATTTGTGCCTTCAAGATCCATGGCCAGGAGCTGCCCTTCGAGGCCGTGGTGCTCAACAAGACGTCAGGAGAGGGCCGGCTGCGTGCCAAGAGCCCCATCGACTGCGAGCTGCAGAAAGAGTACACGTTCATCATCCAGGCCTATGACTGTGGCGCTGGGCCCCGGGAGACGGCCTGGAAGAAGTCGCACAAGTGAGTTGCCTGACAAGGCTCCCTGAACCCCTCCCACCCCACCTTTTGGGATCACACACTGCTCCTCAGGGTTGTATACCCAGCGGTCACACAGCCTGCTCAGCCACCAGCTGCTTCCCCAGGCCCCTGTAGGCATTGGCACAGGCCACTCCTGCACCTGCTGTCCTCTGCCCCCACCTTCACCTGGAGACATCCCTCTTCCATTAGCAGGACTGCACTCAGAGGTCACTTCCTCTGAGAAGCCTTCCCTGAGCTGACCCATCCCTGCAGACCCAGCTGGGACCTTTCTCTGGGTTTCTGCCAGGCCGCATGCCTGTCCCTGTCGCCGCACTTCTTAGTTTGGGTTGGAACTCTCTCCATTATGGAGTTTGGCTCTGAGCCTCGCACAGAGTCAGAGTGGTTCAATTCTGACTGAACAGAAGAGTGAATGAATAGAGGAGGAGTGAATAAAGGAAAGGGGAGGTGATCTCGAGGAAATCGTTGCCCCAAGCTGGGTAGCAGAAGGCCAGAGAAGGGGCAGGTTCATCTCAGGACGAGGGAAGGGACAGGTGGAGGCCTCTCTGGTGGGAGAGTGGACAGAAAGCTCAGACAACAACCAGCCTGGCTGGCTGCGGTTTCTTGGCTCTCTTGGCCCCGGGACCAGAGTCAGTGGCCATGGAAGGCGCAGAACGATAATGTCAGCCTCCCTTTACCACCATCTCTTCCTTCCTATGTGTGGTCCCAGGGCTGTGGTCCACATCCAGGTGAAGGACATCAATGAGTTTGCTCCCACGTTCAAAGAGCCAGCCTACAGGGCAGTTGTGATGGAGGGGAAGATCTACGACAGCATCCTGCAGGTGGAGGCCGTCGACGAGGACTGCTCCCCCCAGTATAGCCAGATTTGCAACTATGAAATTGTCACAACTGATGTGCCATTTGCCATTGACAGAAATGGTGAGTGTCCTGAGGGGACTCCAGTTGGGGGGTGGGGAAACCCCTCCATCACCCCTCTCTAAATGTCCATGGGAGGTGATGACTCCCTTGCCATCTGTGACCTGGGTTCAGTAACCCAGAACTCAGTCCCACACCAGAGGGGATGGCTTCACGTTACTAACAGCACAGCCAGGTCTAAAATCCCTCCTCTAAAATACCTCAACAACCCACTCAATGAATATAATCTGTGGAACTCAGAATGCTGGGTACTGAAGACAGGTTTTCTGGGTTTTCTGGTAGAATGTTCCAAACGCCCTGCTATCAACTAGGCCGTATCTGAGGCCCTTTCCTAGGTCACTAGTTGTGACACCATCCCCAACCCCTGTCATTGGTTTCTTGCTCTTAGACCAAAAAAAATGCTAAAACAGAAGGTGGAGATTTCTGGAAACACCTTCTAATCTTAGATTCATTGAGGACTCTGAAATGAGCTTGCCAGTGTCCTTTGGGAATTTCTTCCATAGTGAGAATGAAGAATGAATAAAGCCTCCCACCAAACCCCAATCCCAACCTGAACTTATTGAACTGAAAACAGTCCTATAAAGCCACTTGTGTATTTCCCCATCACCATTAATAAAAATCTTGGAGTACAAACACCCCAGCCAGAGGCTCAATCAACTCAGCCCACTTTCAATGCAATTCTCTATAGCTTCATGTTAATGAAATGATAATTACTTGCTAAGTATATTATTGAAAAGCATCTGTAAATATTGCCCAAGTCCTGGCACAGTGCTGGGAACTGGGAGTGGAGGCAGAGTGGAACTCAAAACAGACATGGACCTGCCCACATGGATCTTACCCTCCAGTGGGAAGAAAGTAAAAATAACAAATAGAAATCAGGGAGGCTTGAGGGTGAGGGGATGCAGAACGCCTGCCATGAGCCAGGGGGAGCCAGAAGGTTCACTTGGGGCCTCTGGGTAGCCAACGCCCAGGGAGTAGACCATCCATTACCTGCTTACACATGGTCAGTGCTCCCAGTGCTCCTTGACTTCAAGACCAGGGAGGAACTTATCCTGTGACCTGGTCTTCTGCTTCCTGAGAAGTGTAGCTGGTTCCAGAGGGGATGGAAGCCAAGGAGACATCCTCATCCCTGGCCTCCAGTGGTTTATGATCGGCCTCGGACAATGAAAGCAACATTCATAAAACAGACCAAATGGTCATAGGACAGTTTCTTTGCAAAATGATAAAACATGTGGAAATGACAGTTACAGACCTGGACATTGCGGGAGACCCACTGTGTGGATCACAGGATCAGTGCGTCCATGCCCAAGAAGGTACAGGAGAAGATACGGGACCCTGAAGATTGGTTTGGGATGAAGAAGTAGGTGATTTCAGTTAGTAGAGCCCGTCAGAACTGCTTCCTGATAGCTTTTCCTATGGGCCCTGTGATGTGGCCGGCTTGTCCCCACCACACAGACATGTCTCACATACATCACATACACACACGCATGCATGCACACACACATCTTTGCACATACACATGCACGCGCCACTCCGTAAAACACAAAACAACTCGTTTGTCTTTTTCTTTTCCCCACGGACCACCTGTGTGGTCCTCATCCACAAAAGCTTTGGAATTTGGAGAGTGATGAATCCTTGGTGAAGAGTAAGACTAGACAAGGGCAGGTCTCTGTGATGCGTGGCCAAGCTCCACTTGACCTCCTGCCTTGGTTCCGGAGAGTCACAGCCCAATGAGAGATGAGATGCAAATCCTTTCATCTGAGAGTCAACTGCCCCAGTCATGAAGATAATTACTCACCTTGATGAGCCATTTCGCTAACATATGCCAATTTATTTCCCTAGCTGTCTCATTAAAAGTGAGTAATGGTCCTTTGCCAAGTCTCTGCCTCCAACACTGGTTACAACATAAGATGAAGAGGAGAGTGGGCACTCCCAGGGAGTGTGGGCCCCCCGAAAGCAAGGTTTACAAAAGTGGTTCTCCAAGTAATGAAGGCAGGACCTGGGGGCAGATGCAGAAACGGCTGCTCCCATTCTAATGAGCTTCCCAACTGGCCCCGATCCGTCATTTATCCCAGCGACCTTCTGGACTCCTTGAAGACATTCTTTGCCTGCACATCAGAGAAAGTGCTACTGAGTTTAGGATTCCCTCACTGAAGCCTCATGACTGCAGGTAGATGGTTCCTGGCCCGTCCAATTGCCCAGGCTCTTTATTTGTGGGGAAGACAGGAAGCAGGGCAGTAGAGAGGGTAAACCTGAATTCAGCCTGATCTGTCTTAACCCAAAACTCAACCTCTTCCTACCAGAGGTCATCGGCCTCCCTCTGCTTGAATTCTTCCCCTGTGAAATCATGGCAGAAACCGCCCTGGTCCCTTGTGGGGTTGTGAGGTCTCAGGGAAGCGGTGCCAGGGGATGATGCTTGCAGGGTCCCTGGCAGAGAGGGAACGCTCCTTTCATGGTGCAGCGGTCATCAGATGTTTACCCGGGTGATTGGGACATGAAGGTCATTCACTCCCCATGGACTTCCAGGCTGAAACATGAGCAGGTGACTGCGTTGGTGACACCTGCTCCCTCTTAGGAAGTTCTGGACTCACTTCAGATGGCTTCCCGGCCATCCTCTCCTGGCGCTTGGCTGGTCTCTAGGAGGTCAGCAGGGCCTAGATCCTCAGTTTAGGATCTATGGATGAAAAAAAACTGAGTCCTAAAGTATGGAGTGCTTGCCTAACAGCACCTGTAACCCCGGTGGCAGAGCCGGGACTGGAGCCCAGATCCCCAAGCGTTGGCTCCGATGCCTTTCCACCAGTGATACTGTCACCGGACTTCGCAGTGATGCTTGACAGGAAGGCAACGCAACGGTTAAGTTCAAAGCCACAAAGTTGCATCTGAATCTTACATCCATTACTTGCATGTGTGTGTGTGTGTGTGTGTGAGAGAGAGAGAGAGAAAGAGAGAGATCTTTGACAAGCTACTTAACCCTGCCTCAGATCCCCGTCAGTAAAATGGGAACTAAATACCATACTAACATAACGGAATAAAATTAATTAATCATTAATTAATTAATTAGTTAATTAATTAAACAGCATGCTAAGTACCATGGCTGTGTGAAAGGACGGTCGCACTGCCAGCAAGGCGCCCCCCAGAGTGTCGGCACAATCAGAGCCCTCAGCCAGGTTCGGGGATGACCAGAGGGAGCAGCAGGGGTCTCAGGGACACCCAGTCACCCCTTGGCAGACGTTTCTTCTTTTCCAGCACCTGTGGGGTCCCCGGGCAGCCTCTCTCTGGCAGGAGGCTGCCCTGGTGAGTCATGGGACTCTGCTGCCTCTGGGCAAAATGCACCCCAGAGTCTGCTTATTTTAAAGTAAATGAAAACATTTCTGTTCCATCTGAGTAGAAAAGGAACGCATGCCCTTTGTAGGAAATTTGGAAAGGAGAAACATGGGAAGAAGGAAATAAATCACCTGTAATCCCACCAAAGATAGCCGTGACTGATGTTGCACCACGACTTTTTCTGTGAAGTTTTATAACAAAAGTAAGGCCACGCTTCCCTTGTTTTTCTTTATTCTCCCTTTTTCATTTAACATTCAATCGTATGGATTTTTTTCGCCCTTAAGAATGCTTCATAATTACTGCTTTTAAAGCTAAAAACATCCTATCTGATGCAGAGACTCCTTACATGGTTCTTCCCTTACTAGCAAGCATCCAGTTTCCGTATTATTTTTCACTGTAAGAAATAACACTTAAATGAACATATTTGCACCTGTATCTGCAATTTTTATTATTTTCCTGGAATCAGTTTTCTAGATGTGGAATTGCATCCCCAAAAGGCATGAGCAAATTGCAAAGTGACTAGCCTATATAATTTTCCAAAGTGGTTAATTTTATTCCAAGTTAAATTCCCCTGGAAAGAGGGTACAGGTCAGCATGCTGGTCTCACTGTCCTTCTACCCTGCCTCAGTTTTAAAATACCCTCACTAATGGGGCGCCTGGGTGTGTCAGTCATGAGCCTCTGCTTCTGCCTTTGGCTTAGGTCATGAACCCAGAGTCCTGGGATCTAATCCTGCATCAGGCTCCCTGCTGAGTGGGGAGCCTCCTTCTCCCTCTCCCTCTCCTGCTCCCCCTGCTTATGCTCCCTCTCTCTCTTTCTGTCAAATAAATAAATAAAATCTTTAAAAAAATAAAAATAAAATAAAATAATATACGCTCACTAATATGCAAGATAGGTACTGATTGTTCTTGAGAGCTAGCTTCCACAGGTTCATCTGGACCAGAGAAACAGGTCGAGGAACCCCTACTCACCTGCGCTAACTGTGGCCTCAGGTCTCCTAGGAAGGCATTATTAGGAGAAATCATTCAAATGTGGGGGAAATAATACAGGTGTAACAGAAGCAAAATGGGTGGCTTTTTGAACTTCCAAACATTTTTAAATGTGTGTCTTGTCTCATTGGCCTCTGCCCGGCACAATCATTGGTCACATGATTAGACACATATATTTCACCCAAGGCTTCAAATTACAGGCAGTGAAAGCCATTCTCGCACTCATGAAGCCTGTGGTGATGGTGAAGTCACGTTCCTTTCTCGGGCAGTCTCGCTAGGACTTGCCAGGGGGCGCCGCTGCTGCACACAGGGCCATGGCTGGCTGGCCTGTGGGTTTATTTTTCTACCATGGTCAGTAGTGTTTGGTCTGCTGAATGTCACACGGCTGGCAAGCCCTGAGCCTTCCTCTTTCGAAAGGCCGATCTTTTGAGAGCCATTTACCTTTAAAGAAGGGGAAAGTTAAAACTCTGTGTTCAAGGGAGGAGTCAAGACGGCGGAGAAGTAGCAGGCTGAGACTACTTCAGGTAGCGGGAGATCAGCTAGATAGCTTATCTAAAAATTGCAAACACCTACAAATCCAACGGGAGATCGAAGAGAAGAAGAACAGCAACTCTAGAA